GAAAAAAGCACTTTACAAGAGCTTTTTGGCGGCATTTGGTATTTAAATTTTTTCTCACTCAAATTCAATCACAAAAGTTTTGTTTCATATGTTTTTTTGAAGTTCAGATTTCGGTCTTTCCAACGGAAAAACAATTAACCCTTCCGGATATTTTGGAAGAAAGCCATAGTGGAAACAAAAGAAAGGAAAAACTTTTACATCACCCGTTAGAACTTTTTTGACTCACTTATTGGAGAAATTCTTGAACTTCATCAGATTTAGTTCATTTATGAATATAAATTTTCTCTGTTTCAAACAGATACGGACAGTAGTTAAACATGCACATGAATTAATTGTACAGATAGCTAATGATCAAACGGACCGTGAGAAGATAGAAAACGCAACGCCACTAAGTGTATTCAATCGAACAGAAAAAACATGTGTGGATCTTAAAACAGAAAATTCAATTTTTATGTGGTTTGAGCTATTCATTGAAATACTGATTCGAATGAAACATACAGAAACATCGAGAAAAGAACTTGTTGATATTTGCAAGATAAATTACGAAGGAAATCATATCCAATTGGATATTATCGAAGAATTTGATCGAACATACACTCCTTCTAAAGCAATTGAGTGGTACACAAGAGCATGTTGTATTTATAAAATTCTTAACAAAGCACTCCGTATAAAAGATTTGGATATTCTTTTTGCATTTCGATTTTTAATCACAGACATATTCACACAACTCAAACAAGAACAGCAACGTTTTCTACGTGATGATCCAATTATTATAGTCTATCGAGGCCAGGCAATATCAATGATGGAATTAAATCGAATGAAATCTAGTATTGATGGATTTATAGCAACGAATAGTTTTCTTTCAACGAGTTGAAATCGCCAACAAGCACTTAGATTTGCTACAGCTATTGGAGGCGATTTACAACCAATTCTATTTGAAATTGAAGCTAATACACGTCTTGAAACAAAACCATTTGCCAATATTTCACATTTGAGTTATTTTCGACAAGAAGAAGAAGTTCTTTTTATACTTGGAACAATATTTCGAATAAATAATATTGTTTACAGTCAAAAACAGAATATTTGGATAGCGAAATTGGTTTTATGTACCGAAAATGATGATGAGTTAAAAACGGTGTTTGATTATATGAAAAATGAAATAGTTGAAGAAACTGATCTTATATCGCTTGGAAATTTATTATGGGAAATAGGTGAATTTGGTAAATCAGAAAAGTATTATCATCGTTTATTAAATATGGAACTGCCAACTAATGACGTCAATATTCCACGATGTTACGATGGACTTGGATCAATTGCAAAAGATAAAGGAGATTATGAAAATGCATTTATCCGACATAAAACAGCATTAGATATCAGATTAAAGACACTTTCCCACAATCATTGTGATATTGGAAATAGTTATAACTGCATGGGCGAGGTTTACAGAAAGAAAGGTGATTACGATAATGCACTTGAATACTATTATAAAGCATTAAAGATTTGGTTAAATACTTTGGGTAATGATCATCGAAGAGTGTCATGGTGTTATAACAACATTGGTAATGTGTACGAGAACAAAAATCAATATGAACAAGCACTGTTTAATTATAATATAGATCTTAAAATATGTCAGAAAATTCTTCCTTCTGGTCATCCAGATTTAGCTTGTACATACAATAGCATTGGCAATATCTACTCTAAAAAGGGTGAATATGATTTATCGTTCGACAACTATGAAAAAGCGTTAAAAATTCAACTCAAATCTTTACCATCGAGTCATCAACTAATAGCTGAAACATATGAAAATATTGGTGCATTGTATGAATTAACCAATAAATTAGACTTGGCTTTATTGAATTATAACAAAGCAGCACAAATATTTCACAGTTCTCTTCCACTGACGCATCCCGACGTTATCCAGATTGAAAATTTCCTTCGAAGAGTCAATGACAAACTTAAGTAACCAATAGTTACATTTGCGACAGTCTGTAGACGAGTTTTGGATGAGTTAAAAGTAGAAAAATTGAGGAAGAAGTAACTTATTTAGTACATCTGAAGATTTATCCCTACCTCCACCTGCTCTACAATATATGTAGATCCGAATACCGAGATAGGCTTTCCAAGATCGAATTTCCAAAGATCCATCTAAGAAGACACAGGTGAATATCAAATACGTGATCAGCATCAGAGTTAACCATAATGAAGTAGGTCTCAATTAAAAGAATGACGGATCACTAAAGTAGTTTTCCTTGTAAGTGAGAGAAATCTTTCTTGCACTAAATGAGAAAAGTCTCTTACTCTGACTTTCTTATGTTTAGTATATTCGTTTATCACTTGCTACCACATCAAAAACTATTGTCAAATTTCTTCTGAAAGCACAAGTGAATATACTTGAGACCAAGTAAATGTCCAGAGTACCTGGAGTATATTGCAAGTAAAAAAGGTACTTATCGTATATATAGGTACTTAAAAAAGGTAATTTAACAAATATAAGTACTAGGTAAGTACTTCATCAAGTATTTGGCAGGGAACTTGGCAAGTACTTGCGAAATATATGCAAGTAATCGAAGTTCTTCCAAGTACTTGGCACGTATTAAATCTAAAAAAGCTTGACAAGTGCTTAACCAAGTACTTTAGAAAATTTGCAAATGGCTAAGTACTTGATCTCAAGTACATTCACTAGGGAGCGTACGACTTGCCAATACCAGATCTAATCATCTCAATTAACATAAGTGGTATGGATAGAGGTTACTCTCTCTAAAAGAAAACGTGTTCTCGGAAAATGGAGGTGATTGGTCTCTTTCGGAAACGCTTTTGGGTTTTTTAGAACTGGAACAGGAAACTCCTGGGGGCTTTGAAAGTGACTTTGGAAACCAAAAAGATATTTTAGAATATGGTAAATAGTATCCGAACTCTCGGAAACCCAAAAGATTTTTGAACAAGATGTTCGAGAACGGGAACGGTATCCTCCGAAAGAGTATTGTCCGAAACCCTTTTGGAACCTAAAATTTCTTTGAAAACCGGAAGAGTATCCGAATATATCCTTTTCAGTTTCCGCGAATACCCTGTTCGGCACCTGGAAATTTTTCTGCAAAACTCTTCGGTTTTGGAATCCTTTGCGTTTCCGAGAGAACCCTTTGTTTTAAGTTTTTTCATCCATGATGCAAGTGAGCCTTCACAAAAGCAGATCGTCACAGTATCTGGAATTCTTCAAAAATTCAACGTTATTTTTTTGACCATCCTCCTTCCCCTTACTTAACTTCAACTGATCTTCCAGTATATACGTTGCATTCTGTTCAACTTACTTTTTTGTCTTCGAGAACAAAATGTACAGACGGATTTTGCTTCGATATCTAGAGTACACAGCAAGTTCTCGTCGTTTAGGGTTAACGAACACGAGATCGAGCCGGAGTATATAAAGATAAAAAGAAATTTTTCGGCACATTTATTTGAAAACGACAATGTCCAATCCGTGAAAGCCCATCTCGACATTCTAATCCACGCAGAATGTAGGGCAAGCAGACTTAGGGATAAATCTTCAGATCTATTAAATAACTCGCTTCTTCCGCAATTTTTCTAATTTTATTACAATAAGACTATATAACTCATCCAAAACTAGTCTAACTTTGAAAATTTTTTCTTGCTAGTAACCTCATTTGATCTACAATCTGCACAACTGAAGAAATCTGCTGCTGAGCTTTCGTAGAACCGACTTCCAAGAATCCATCCAGGAAGAGTCTCCACCTACACTATAAGAAAAAGCGTATTTTAGAAATACTAAAACGGTTTCTTCATCGCTGACAAAATCGCTTTTCTGATTTCAAAACCACCAAATGTTTCGCATTTCGTTTGAGCAAACCAAAAGTGTATTTTCTCAGCTTCAGAATCCATTATCCGTTTCTTCTTCAACTGGAAGGGAAGAAAAACTTTGCGTAAACCAGGCTCAATTTGATTCAATTTCCATAGCAGCAGTTCTGACGAAACGTTTTCAGTCTACAAAAAACTGGTTTCAGATGAGCTCGAACAATCATCATCAAATCGTTTCAAAAGCATGTCAAAAGCGATCTGACGCCTTAACCTATGCTAAGATATCATTGATAGTGAATTCTCTTTTTTGTTCTTATGGAAGCCTTGCTACTTCTGAAATATAGAACAAAATTTAAAAAACCTTCTGCTTTCGATTATCAAGTCGTCTATTAGAGGCAGTTGATTTTTATTCCTCCATTTTCACGTTACAGAACATCTTGAAAAGGTAACTTTCGTTTTTAGTTGGCAAAATAAAAAAGGGTTATAGATAAGTGATTTATAACCATCATGATAGGTCACAGAAACTAAGTTTGATGCAACTGATAGTCTTTTCTAAGTATTTTCCCGATCGTAACTTTCCTCACTCAGACTGTTTTATAAAGCCTTTGCATAATTATCTTTTTATTATTCACAAGCACGCCCGATTGTGGTTACTAGTTGTTATCTATTTCAATAATTTATCCAGTTTCGTTTTAACTCTTTTATCATGGCTGTACAGACCAAGGACTGTTGTATCGATCTGCACAAGTCTGAGGTGGTTAAATAACAGCATTCGCCTGTGGTAGCAGTTTTGGTCGGACCTACCTATTTTCTCATTTTCAACTTGGAGAACCTTCAAAGTAAATGGAGAAATAGATTATTCGCCACACTGAGACCCATGGCAATTCTTTTTTATCAAGAAAAGTTCAGAAAACCTAGTGAAAACGTGTACTAAGTGCAATATCCTATTTATGCCTAGTTTCGCGATATGGCTATAGAAAATTCATAACACAGTCGAGATCGGTCCACACTACCTGAGAATATCAAGACATACTCTATTTTGTCAATGCAGCTATATAGAATTTCATGATAAAAGTTCTTGTTACTTAATATACTGATATTTCGCCTTTTACAGTCATTTTCAAACAATACATAAAAGAAGTACACAGAAATGAAGTAACACACACTAAGAACACATGACAGTTTTCTTTCGTTTGACTAGAACTGGACGAACTTTACAATTTTCTTCTTTCTTTTCTGTTTTAAAAAATGTGCGCTTTGTTTTGAAAAAAAAGAATTTTATTATCAAATTCTATAGAGCTGCATTGACAGTCTTATGTTTGTGTCAAAAACCGTTGCCCAATAAAAAAAAATACTCTATTTTATCTACAATATATTAAGCAGTTCAACAAAGTCTTATAAAGCAACAGAAAATACTTCGGATTTTGAAAAGGCTTTCCAGAAACCTTCTGAAAGTACTGAACTAAAAGAACGCTTTTAACTACCTTTAAGTAGAAAACTATATTTAGCAGATAAAATAGAGTATATTGTAAGGGAATTCTATCCTTTGCTGAGTTTATTATACAATAGATTGAAATGTAAGTGCCGCACAATATGTATATGTCGTACGCATATATTTTTTGTGTCAGTTTGTTGAAAATAGACGAGCAGTCAACAAAATGAAAGTTAAATTTAAAAGAAATGGAAGAAACAAAACAAAGAAAAATAAAACATGAAGACGACTGCAAAGGTAACAGTGAAGACCAACTATCGATAGCGGAGCCTCTTATGCAAGCGAAATTTTCTTTTTTTGCTTGTTTACTGTTTCGTGACTATGCAACATCTTTAGTCAAAATACATTCAATTCAAAAGGTATGATCGAAGCACTGAGGAATATTCATTCCATCAGGAGACTTTAAAACTCTATTAGACGCTATACCTATTTTCAATCAGAATGTTCGGTTCAAAAAGAGATGGGATCTCTAACTGAAGGAGAAAAAGTCTTTGATATAGACTTGCAGTTATCTGGTTAGTGAGAGATAATTGTTACACTTTATAGGGCCAGTGTCCAAGTAAAAGAAACATTTGATGTTGAAAACAGAAGAACTAGAAACAACAAAAGCAAAAGCATAAGCAATCGGATAAGCTGCTAAGCTGCAAAAATTTCAGTTGAGTGTACAATGTGAACAGCTGAAGATATCCTCACGATTATACGAAATTCAAATGAAAACAACAAATGCTGATTATGATATCAAACAAGATACAACTGTTTCTCTTTTTTCAAGATCCCATACATTTGGCCACAAAATTAAGAAATAAATTATTATCGAAAAAGGCACAATTGATGATGGGTACACAACACATCACATTACAGCATCTTCAAGATCTAGTTGAAAATCGTTCTAAACTGGATCATAATTTGGTGTCATCAGATCTATTTCCGAAAGATAGACAAAACTTTGCTTCTTGTTTAAAGATAGCATCAAAAGATGTTTTAAATCTCTTACGTGCTTCAGAAGATGAAACATTTGCCACTTACTGTTGTCTTTCCGTATTGCATTTTGTGATATCTGCATATATAGAGCGATCAACAACTATCTGTGAGAGATTATATTACGCTTGGACAATT